TGACTCCGAGGTCCAAAGGCTTCTTCCACACGACATGGAGTCCGACAACACAAACTCTATATCTTCGTAGATGCTCTGTAAAGACGCTTGGGGAATTTTCGTGTGACGGCGATGTCCAACTCACTGTTCCTTGAAAATCTTGATGAAAATAGCTGCTGGAGTTCTCTTCCTGGTCCCGTCATCACTCATCATGCCGCCGTTATTCTCGATCTTCGTTACTGCTTCGTAAAGAGCACTCGCGAATCTAGAAGACACGCGGAACTCAGTTTTCACGATTCCAGAATCTTCACTGCACGATACTAACAAGCCTAGGATCTCACCCGAGTCCTTTCCTGTGGATCATTCGCTCGACCATAAGCTGATCGTGTATTTTCAGCCCGACACATATCCTATTCATCACTTCCATCTCGGCCAGGAGTCGCTTGAAGCGAGCCTGATGAACACAGCTCTTCGCCATCAGCAAGTTCGCCTTCAGCAGCTACTGATTCCTCCGCTGTGTTGATCACTTGCTTCATCGGACTAGAATCGTCGTTTCCATTTGTTTCCGGGGACGGCACGACTTTGTAGATGAACGCCACGTCTTCCTCGGTGAACCTAGCAGATCGCTGATAATGCAGTTGCCTCCTGTGCCGACCTGTCATCTTCCTTGATCAGTCGAGTTACTACTCCACCCAAGCGCCCGCCACAATCCTTCTCAATCCTCTGAAAACACACCCACTGATAACGCCGGGAAGTCACGACAGATTACCTTGGTTGCCTCATAGAGCTCCACAGCGACTGCTATACCTTTCCTCACCACCAAGCGCTCAAGGAAGTGGACCTAGAGAATGCGAGTGGGAGGGATGTGTATTAGGGCCCTCTCGATGCTGACTCACGTGTATCAGCGACATGTTGACGCCCAAGCCGGCCGCGAGTTCGAGTACGACGATACGTTCAGGTGCATCTGAAGCGTTAGAAGCTACCGATGCCGAACCAATGCCTTCCGTGCTTACCCTCCGGAAGGATCATGAATCCAGCCATGTTCCCCTCAGGTGGAGGTATTGCCGACGGGAGAGCTTCACCGCGCTCCTCATAGTCCATATCTCCAACGAACCTGGAAGAAAATCGACCTTCCATCCCCTCCTCCTCGATTGCATACCTCCCAGGAGTTCCCCTCCGCACATGTCCCCAAGTGGCATCCTGGTACTGTT